ACATCTAATTATTTAACAATTACATAAACATTACATCATTAATTATTTAATTAACCAAAAAAATTACATCTTTATTAATAACAAATTAATTATTAAACAAAACTATTAAATATAAACTAGGCAAACGTGCATTGCATGTTGCTTGCACCTAGTATTATTAAAATGGGAAAAAAAAATGAATTTACATGAAAAATTCTTTTACTGAGGAGGATGTATTGTACGATCATCTTCTCCTTCCTATGTCACCTCACCTCATCCCACTCCAGCCCCTTTGGGCACTGTCCTAGTTAATCTTTCTCACCCCATTAAAACATCGTGCAATTCTATTGATTGACATTTTTCCAATCAAATTTACGAGTGGAATTTCTTGACCTTCTTTTGCATTTTTTGAGATATGTATCAGTGTGCGATGTTTTAGTCTTCATCGTGTATCTTTACCAGGGTTTTCGGAAATTTTGGAATTGTTGGGAATCATGGATGATTTTTCGTTAATTTTTTTTTTAGGTTGGCTAAATTTGGTTTATTTGTATCAATTTTGCAGTTGGTTGGAGAAAGACGAGTGGTGGAAATGTTGTCACAGTTGGTGGTGGTTCTGCCACTATGGGTGGTGGCTATAAGGCCTAAGGGGAAAGTAGCGATTAAATATGGGGAGTTGTTGGTAGTGGTGAGGAATTGGGTGTCCGTGGTCGACAATGACGGATTTAGGGGTCCCTCAGCCCATTTCAATTTTTTAGGGTAAAATTTTCATTTTATTAAAGTCCGACTTAAAAAAAGTAAAATTAGTTCGATCCTGAATCCGCCTTTTATGGTCATGGGAGAATTGTGATTGGTAACTGTGACGGTGATGGAGATGAGATGTGTTGTGATAGGAAAGAAGACGGTTCCTTGTTTCTTTATTTTTCTGTCTTTTTTCTTATTTTTATTTATTTTGGAGTAAAGTTACAAAAGTCACTTTAATAAAAAAAATTGAGTTTTTGAATAATAGGATTCTTTCAATTATGGACTCAAAATCACAAGTTTATATAGGTTAAGATATACAATCTCACTTTTGAAGGTTATGCAGCAATAACCACACTAAAAAATGTTGAAGACCTCATCCCAAATTTTCACTTAACTATTTATGAGTATGGTAAGTGGATTACAGCCGAATCGCTCGTTTTAGGAGTGACAATGAGTTGACCCAACTTGGCCTTTAGCTCGTGTGCCTCATGGGTCGAACCGAGTGGGTCATGTTTTTAAGGAATTACAAGACTAGCCAAAAATGAGTTAGAAAAAAAAGTTAATCCATGAGTCCAAAACGAGTCGTCCACGAGTCGGTACACTCAGCTGGTGAAAGAAAAAATGAGTTGATCTCAATACAAGTTCAAGTCGCTCATGAAATGAGCCAGGACGAGCTAGAAAGAGAAGTTCGTGAGTAGCTCGACCCATTTGTCACACTACCAGATCGTACTTGATTCTCTATATCTGTAGTCTATTAGAGTAAATAATTAAATAATGAAGCACAGAAGTGTGTAAAATAGAGATGAACGCGTGAGCAAAAATTATTACTTCTACAGTATCGATTTTGATCAAGAAATTTCAGAAAAATCTCAAAATTTTATAAATTTCTTGTCAAACTAATCCATGGAACTCTGGTAAACCGAAACACATTTAGGCACTAATTAAACGAGACAATTACATATCAGGGGCATATCATGGTACGTGTAATGAAAAGTAATGGAAATTGTAAACGGAATTACAATATGCAATTTCAATTTTTTGCAAAATTGCGTGCATCTCAATAATGATAAAAGGGAAAAATATATATATATATGATCGTTATGATTTTCCTAGAATCTTGGATGTAAACGATCAATTACCTACTTTGACCAAAATATCATTCAATATTCAACGAAAACTTTGACCTCAATATTCGGTGATGTCGTGTGGTCCATGTTCTCTTTTGTCCACAGATATATTAAATGTACACTTAGATAGCCACGTTAGACTAATTGTGATCGTAGCTCCGACTAGATGAGACAGTTGCGGACACTGTGACATTCAAATCAAATAATGGAGATATGTATATTTTGAGTGTGAGTTTATATGTTACCTACTCTTATACTTGTGTCAAAATTGGAAAGAGAATATTGAATTTGCAATGCGTAAAATATGGTGCTCATTGTTTCATTGCTAGAATAATCTTGCCATTGGGAGGCACCAATAGTAAATTTTTATACAGTTAAACAAGAAGTGGTATCAATTGAATGTTTGACACAGTCTCATCTTGATAGATCACTGATTAAAAGGTGTCAATTCCATCTATTATAGGCCTTTGGTCATCTGACACAAACTGAAAAGGAGCTGGCCTATTTCATAAAAACAACCTGAAAAGTAGACAAAATAGTTGACAGTGTATTCGCTACAGGCTATCAATTTTTAAGATACTAGTTATGGGCACGTGCAATGCATGTGTCGTAGCGTAGTTGGCTACTTAATAATGTGGAATGATTTTTGGTCATTTTAGACAATTATAGAAGCATAACGAAAGAATAAAAATAATTACTTATTAACGAACATTGTTTTCATCTTGAGAGATGCCTGGAACTTGAAGATGAATTTTGCTGTGTAAGAAGAGTAATGTGCGCTAGCAAATGCAACAAGGGCAAAAAGATACTACAAGGGAATCTTAAATTTAAACAGTAAATATTAGGTGACAGTGCAAAACTGTGATTCCATAAAATCTAATGCTGAAGCATAAAGAGAGAGTTGAACAGATCTTCCAGTTTACAATACCTCTATGACATTGATTTCTTCAAACTAATGAAAAACTTGGATGAAAGTTTAAAGAGCCCAACCTGACTCATCTCAAAAAAGCTAATTTAAAATCCTCAAACCAATAGCATAATGATCTGAAAGGATTTGCCCAAGGGAAGTCAAAATGACAACAAAAAGCACCGGCAACCATCGTCAATAGATTTTCTAACTGCACCTACAATCATGATATAAATATCAAAATTACTCTAATTCAGGTTCAATATATCTACTTACATACTCGAGTGTGTTTGCAAAAAGCACAATGATTCGTGTAGCAAAATAGTTGTAGAAAGATACCATTCACTAAAAATTGCAAAGCCTTGAGCATTTGCAGTAAATAAATGATATATTAACAAATTTAGCACCTTCAGTAAAAACTGTATTGCATTGGCAAAGTAGAAATGGAACACTATCTAAAAGAACTCACAAAGGAAGTTTACACTCTGGCAAAACTATAATGGAGTACTATACTATAGGATTTTATTTATACAATAACCTGACCAATTTGGAATTTGGACACCATACAACAAAATTATTACTTTACATAAATACTTCTGGTAAATAAATGTAAAAATCTCTGCAAATAGTAAGTCAAATCAAGCAAAACCCACTATTAAGAATTCGATCATTTTTCCTTTGCCAAAATTATAGGATATCAAAAGGCTCTTGTAATTAATTTCACCTGAATAAACCCCAACTTGTTCTCCGATTTCCCCAAACCAAACCCCTGGAAACAAATTCTGTACAATAATTCCACAAAATAATCCAATTAAGAAGGCATCAAGTTGTAACTTCTAGAGAAAGAGTGGCCAAAAAAAAAAATGAATACTTCAAAATAGTATTGACGAAACTGAAACCTCAAAGAATGACATGGGCAGGAATCAAGAAGTTAATCGTCTTCTTTTTAGGAGCCTTCTTTGCCATAAAGTGAGTTCCATCAAATCGGTCTTTGTAAACTATATAAAGATGAACGCAAGAACATGTGTGAAGAACATAACTCATTCTTCAGTTTAAAGTGTTAAGCGATGGATGTTTTATATACCATTATCCCCGATAGGCTGATAGGGACATAGAGTGCATTTCTTAGTCGACGTCTGTTTTTTTGGCTCAGAGTATGCCACTCAAGAAGCTCCTGAAAGGAAATGAAATATGTCATTAACATCAAATGAATTCCATATGAAAAATGAAATGAACTTTAAGATATTCTTACCATATTCCGGTAGCTCTTTTAGCTTCATTTCTGCAAGTGTAGCATGATAATCAAATTAAGATGTACATGGACTATTATTGGAGGGCAATCTTCA